AGGAGATGACGAAGAGGCAGGATTCACGATATGGATCCGTGAGGTGATTTTAGAAATTGGAATTTATATACAACAACAAATTGCCAAAATAAAAGTTCGTTATGAAAATAAGAGAATTGGAACTTTCTATGTTGTTTACCACTTTTATTTGTAACTAACGTTACTGCAGTTTCGTCCTATACGGACATTTTCAAAATGTATAAGTTTGGTAATGTTTCGTGGTGTATTTCATCAGTTCGGACTTCCATTGTCTAATATGATATAATTCGATTTGAAATCCCTGAAAGAATCTATGAAAAATTAATAAGATTAGCTGAAAAAAAAAACAATTATATTAACCAAAAAAATGGAAATGAAAAAATAAAGCCGAGTTACTTCACGTTTCCATTGTTAGTATCCACAATAGTCTTCGGGTGATAACTGGTATTGCTCCGAGATCTGACTATTTATAGGTCATTCGAGTGCTTTCGCCTATCCCCTCTTCCCTCTCTCAGCTCAATCGATTTTAGCGGGAGCTAACCGTTTGTCGGGAGTTGGTCATGTTCTGCTTGATTATAGGTTTCCATATCGTAACGCTAACGCTACGCGTTACGGGTCACTTTGACGCCGAGTACAGGTCACGGCTTGTCTCGGAAGCCAGCTTTCGGCGTGGTGTGCTCCACGTGCTCCGGGCAGCGTCAGTGAAGCTTCACCAAAGTAGTACACCAGGGGTCTCTATGGTATTGATTTAATCAACTGTAGCCAGTACGGCAGGCTTTAATTGCCGTCTTGGATTCGAATCCTGGGTACCTGGTGTTTTTTTGTCTACCGGTTTACCTTTATTTATCGGGGCTCGGACTCGAGCGGAGCTGGAACTGGAACTGAGACTAAAACTCAACTGAACTGCCTTGGCAGATACTCTCGAGATTATTTGAAATAAAGTTCTACGCTGTGTCCGGTGAGGGAGAGTGGTGCCCTCCATCGGTGGTACGGTGTATTAACAAATAAGGTATGATTTTCAAATCTCATTGGCGACCTGGTATAGTACAGTTTCCTATCGCTATAGAGTGGCAAATCGCATTCGCGACCTGGGATTTCTTTCGCGATAGAGTGGCAATTTGATCGAGGAAGGTATTCATTCAGTCGGGGTCAAATAAATAACGGAGCAATAATAGAAACACAAAAATGAAAAAAAGCTGTTTTTACCTGTCGTACCACCGGGGAAATTAGTAACTTCGTTACGATATGTTGCGTATCTCTACGCTAGCTTGGCTAAATACGTTGTTGGATAACATATATGCGGCTTCTTTGAGTTTTCTCCTGAACCAGTGTTCCTCCTTGTTGATGATTTCAGCTTGAGACCACTCGATGTTATGTTGATGAGTCCAAACATGTTCTGCTATTCCTGATTTGTTGGTTTCTCCTCGCTGTGTGTGTTTCTTGTGCTCGGCAATTCCAACTTTCAATGACCTATTAGTTTCACCGAGGTATGATTCTCCGCACTCGCAGGGTATCCGGTAAATGCAATTCTTGGAATCGTAGTCCACGTTTCGTGGCCTGGTTTTCCTGAGGCTGCTACGGATAGTGTTTCTAGATCTGAAGCAGGTTCTAATGTTATACGTGGAACCAATCCTTCTCATCTTTTCCTACAATCCTCTGATGTAGAGAAGTACAAGTACTGGTTGTGGTGGCTTCTCTTTCTTCTGAGACTTGAGTTGTCTTCTAGCCAAAGTATGTTCCACCATCACTTTGGAGTAACCATTCCGTTTAAAGTCATTTTTGATAATGCCTAGTTCCTTTTCGAGACCTTCTCTTGTATTACAGAGCCCAAAAGCATGGTCTACTAGAGTCTTGATGATTTCTTTCTCAGTCGATTGATGGTGGTTGGATTCCTGGTTCAGATACTGTCTCGTGTGAGTGGGATTTCGGTATACAGATGTTTCCCATTTAGTGTTGGTCCTCCTCACCAATATGTCTAAGAATGGCATTTCGTTGTGGATTTCCTTCTCCTTCTCCACGAAATAAATAAACTAAGTTATTAGTTTCAACAAGTAACTTTTAATAAATACCCAAATGCAGGCCAATGCACGTATAAAACGACCAGAAAGCCCATGAAATCGTTTGTGATAGAAAAATATTGTAGACCTGCTAAAGCGTTATAAATCCGCCTATACCAGCTGTGGCAAATCATAACGAAATCACAAAATTTCGTTTAAGCACAGCGTTTTGCATTTATAGTAGCATTTACAACTTTTTTCTATGAGGAAACTGTATTAATCCCCATTATTTAATTCGTCCTAAACTGTTCGACATAGCCCGGTATAAGAATAATGGAATTAAATATCTGAAACGGTCCGCGCGCCACCCTTTACAAGTTCCCGACCTCTCGAAAAAACTTTATTAACTTGCGGCAGGCTTCAAGACACAATGACAAATCATAAAATTCCTTACAGCATAACGCCGCCGCTTCAGCATCTTGCGCATGCGTCCTTACGGATCGACCGGACGAATTTCCATCGCTTTTCTCGAATTTTCCGCAATGATAACTCCGCAGGACCGCCGTAGAAGAGTCGGCGTATCGATCGCCAGACGTCGCGACGCACGTATCCGCCATTTGCTTTGTTTACGTGGTGTCTCGTGCCGCGGAAAAAGTCGTTTTGCGAGGAAATGGACCTCTCCGTGCCAAAGGTGTGTGTGTGAGGAATCTTTTCTGTTGTTTTTCGATTGAAGTGGGTGTTTGCCAGGACTGGGTTTGCTACCGTGGTGTTTTGGTGGAGGTAAGTTTGTCCGGTGTTAGGTTATGTATATGCATCACCGGCTTTTCATTGCCTAGGGGGTGGGTTTTATGACCGGACGGGGTGGTTGGTATTAGCGGTTTGATTGCTCTGTGGGGTGATGTACTGACACGAGGTGTATGTGTGTGTGTGTTAGTCGTTTTATGGGTGTTTGTTTATGATGGTTTTAATGGCAGGTTCAGTTGGGATTAGCGAAATCTGCTACTTTTCAGTTGAAAATAATCCATTGATTACTCACCATAAGAAACAAAACATATTTCCATATTTTTTTATGAATTCTCGCAAACTGTCGAAACCATTTTCGAAAGAAAACTGTACTCCTCGTATACTAACTAAACTGCACTTGTATTTGTTATTTATTGCATCTGGTTTCTGAGCGAGTTTTATTGCCCTGAAACTGGTTTGCAAGTCATAATGAGTCAACGTAAAGAACATAACCTTACTTCTACAAGACGTTCTTTTCATCTACTTTGAAATGTATGCTTCTGTCATGTCTTCTTTCGGTGAGTTTTTATTGCCCTGAAGCTAGTTTACGAGTCATAATGAATCAACGTGTAGAACGTAACCTCACTTCTACAAGACGTTCTTTCCATCCACTTTGAAATATATATTTTTGACGTGTCGTCTTTTAGTAAGTTTTCTTTGCAATGAAGCTGGCTTACGAGCCATAATAAATCAACGTGCAGAACATAACCTCACTTCTACAATTTGTTGCTTCCATCTTCTTTGAAAAATATATTTTTGACGTGTTGTTATTTAATGAGTTTTCATTGCCCTGAAGCTGGTTTATGAGTCATAATGTGTCAACGTACAAAACATAACCTATATATTTTTGACGTGTCTTCTTTCAGTGACTTTTTATTGCTGAGGCTGATTTATGAGTCATAATGAGTCAACATGTAGACTGTAACCTCACTCCTACAAGACGTTCTTTCCATCTACTTTAAAATATATATTTTTGACGTGTTTTCCTTTAGTGAGTTTTCATTGCCCTGAAGCTGGTTTACGAGTCATAACGAGTTAACGTGTAGAACATAACCTATATATTTTTGACGTATTTTATTTCAGTGAGTTTTCATTGCTGAAGCTGATTTACGAGTCATAATCTTTCAGTGAGTTTTTATTGCTGAAGCTGGTTTACGAGTCATACTGAGTCGATGTGTAGAACATAACCTATATATTTTTGACGTTTTCTCTTTCAGTGAATATTTATTGCTGAAGTCGATTTACGAGTCATAATCTTTCAGTGAGTTTCCATTGCTGAAGGTGATTTATGAGTCATAATGAGTCAACATGTCGAACATAACCTCACTTCTATAATACGTTCTTTCCATCTACTTTGGAATATATATTTTTGACGAGTCGTCTTTCAGTGAGTTTTCATTACCCTGAAGTTGGTTTACGAGTCATACTGAGTCAACGTATAGAACATAACCTCACTTCTAGAAGACATTCCTACAAGCTACTTTGAAATATACATTTTTGACGTTTTGAGCGATGGCGTTTCCAAGCGATAAATTATTCAACGTCAGGAATGTTATGTGGATAAAATTTTCAGGCAGCAAATGATTATGAAAGTTTTCGAAAAAAAAAAACAATGAAACCAATCAAAAATGATTATATTACCAGATGTGATGAAAATACATTTGTCATGATGTCAAAAATTGGTAGGTCAAAGGCATTTATATTTTAGCATAAAGGTTTGGAGAATAGTACTGGAAAAATTCAATCTATTGATGTGAAAGAATTAATTGATATTTGAAAAAAAATAAAGAAATTGGTTCTGGAAAAATTCAATCTATTGATGTGAAAGAATTAATTGATATTGAAAAAAAAATAAAGAAATTGGTTCGAAAATTCTGAAAGTGCCCTATTTCATTGAATAAACAATCATAAAGAATAAAAAAGTATCACCCACTTGTGCTTACCCAAACAATATATTATGTTCATACTAATTGTAACATTTTACTGAAATATTATGCAATTTCTCATACTTGAGAAGCAAAATTCAAGTATGGAAAGGTACACACAAAAATATATATTCATCAATATATTTTCTTTGGGAGTATTATTGAATATTTTTCAATTATGTTTGTGGGAATTGAGGTTAGTTCTAAGGCAGAAATTGTGTAAAATGAAAATAGTTTTTATACTTTCTGTGTTGATATCATTTAGTTTTCGTGCCCGACCTGTATTTAATTCATTAATAGATTCTTTTGGATCTCATTGAATGTCTGCCCAAAATATTCGTTTAATCATCTGTTACGCAGTACTGTAAATAGTGCGAGATATTTTTTCTATTGGCTATGTTTTCTGGTTCAGACACAGCTCTTCCACTGTGATATTTTCATCGCATTTTCCGTCGCGAATCATCACTTTAGTATCAGCGATCGGCAATCTGCAGGAGCTGGAACAAGAATTGCGATAATTTTTGGCCACGAAAGTGGCGTAGAATCTTTCGACTGCAGTTGGTGTTTGATTTTGGCCGGTTTGCGAAAATAGCCACCCTGGAAAAAGTAATTATATATAAAAATTTGAGGACCACAGAAACGTTCAGAAATATAAGCTGAATATAATAATGATGATAACACTGTCTAGCTCGAGAAACATACAATGTTTATACTAGGAAAAAACGAACGATATAGAAGAGAACAAAAAAGTTTTAGCTGATTCGCTTAAATAAAAATGTATGAAACAAGTACATAACAAAATATTTTGTTGATTTTCTTCGCATGTTACAGAAACCTGTTTCACGATGTTTACTAGTTCTCACCTGAGTTTCTACACAACAAGATTACTCTTGATGTGAATTTTCGTGGGCAGCATCTCGTAAGCTTCAAAGTCGGGGTGTAAACTTCGTGCTTCCATGCGATTGATTCTATTGAGGAAGAATTTATACGTGAAATTGCCACCAAGACTGTCTGGCAATAGGCCGGGACTTATTTTTTCCAAGGCTCCGCTTTTCATGTCTTTGAAGGTATTTTGCCAAATCAAGACCGTTTGAGCTGTGACAGAGATGCCTTGAGGTTGAAGGATGTCTACAGAATTTTCAGCGAAGTAGAAATGTTCCACCAGCCCTTTTATTCCAGCAGAGGAAATTTCGTCCAATGCGTTTTTCCTGGAAACGATATATCCTATATACATGGCTGTTCAAAAATAAGGTGAATGTTTAGATTTCGCGGGCTATTCGATTAACGATTTTTTATTTATTTTATGTTGGTTCACTCTTTCTGAACAAATGTTCACAGTTTCACCTGTTTAGCTGTTTTATATTGTTCGAAGATTGTACATACAGGTACAAATTATATAGTTCCATTTTAAAAAGGAAAACGAACCGTATTGGTACGAAAAAGTAGTATGTTCCTTGAGTTTATGAAAGACGGAGCTCATTATATATTATTATTATTGTTTCATCGGTTCGTGATACATTTGAATTTAGTTGTTGGTTTGATTGGGAACAATTTTCGGAAGATCTTTCGATTAGAGTTCATATTTCCTTCATTTTCCTATTTTTACCTTCCTATTTTCCCTAATTGCCAACGTATTGGGTGGAAGAAAGGAACTAGCGACATTTTTTGGGGTGAGTTGTGGATTTTTAACCGAATTAGGTAATATTTGCAATATTAGCATGCAAGAGGCATACAAGTTAGAATTGTTTTACTAGGGGAAATAAACAGGTAGAAGATCACAAACAAAACCATTGCCATTTTCTCCGACAGCCAGATGGCTATTAGGGCGCTCAGCTCATTTCAAGTCTTCTCAACACTGGTGGAAAGTTGTCTGAGCGCAGTCACGGAGCTATGTACCCAAAATAGGGTCCTCTAGCTTGGGTACCTAGATGTAAGGATCACATGAGCCATGAGGAGGCCCAGAACCCTTCTGCGGTGTAGTGAAATCATGTATGAAGACAGCCATAAACTCATGGATGCAAGCCAAATCGATAGGTTGGTGGAATAAGCTCCCAGGAATGAGGCAGGTGAAAGAGTTCTTAAGGAAACCATCGCCCAGATTCACGGAAGACCTGTTAAACCACAACCGTACGGTTGTAAGGGTGGTGGTGGGCCTACTAAGGGGATATAGCCGACTTAGGAAACATCTGACCAACATGGGTCTGATAGGAGAAACCCAATGCAAGTTCTATCAAGAAGAGGAAGAAACCGCACTGCATGTGTTCTGTGTATGCGAAGCGATAGCAAGGCTGAGACACGCAAGATGCGGGAAAGAGAAACCAGAGGCTGCCAGTTATACGAAGGGGTCAGTATTAAGGCTATGGAGTCTCATCAAAGAGATCAAGCTAGACAATAGGCTGTAACAATCAAGGAGCATCACAATAGATCTGAAAAGGTCGCAGTGAGTTAGGCCATGGGCTAGCTTCCGACAATCTGATCTAATCTATGTGGATCAGATGATTTGCATCAAATGTTGTGTGAAAAATGGAATTGAGGTCTCAAAAACACTTGAAATGTTAACAAGTGGTAGAAGCTCTTCACAGAAGGTCGAGGAGATGTGATTGACGACGCTCGTCCTGGACTCCCTAACACGTCAACAATCGTTGATGTTATAGAGAAGTTGCTGGGGATGTCGGCATTTCGGATGGCTCATGCCATGTAACTTTTTCGGAATTTTGACCAAAAAAACCGTTCATCGCTCAGGAATTGTTGAATGACGTCAACTGCGATCCAGATTTGCTCGAAAGGGTCATATCTGGTGACGAATCAGTAGTATATAGTAATGACATCGAAACCAAAGTCCAATCGTCTCAATGGAAAAGCCCAGGAAAAACAGTTCATGCTTTTTGAATCACGATAATTCACCTGCTCACTCGTCATTGCTTGTTCGGGTTGTTTTGGCCATAAATAACATTGTATTCATGCCTCGGCCATCATATTCACCAGATTTGCCTCCCTGCGACTTGCTGACCTCAAGGACATACTTCGAACTACTTTCAATTTCAATATATCCGTATGTTGAATGAAACTCATTGTTTTTGGAGAAAAATAGAGGTCATTTTATTATGTTTTGGAGATAGAAATCTGCATCTGAAATAAGAGTACATAAAAACAATTATATACAAATTTTTTCCAGCTGGTCCCACTATTGCTATATCGGAAATGTATGACCTATAAGGTCTGTTGAATTGGAGAAACGTTTTCTACTTAGAGAAATTTGAAAAATCTCTTTTTAGATCCAGGATGTCAGTGGTTGTTTTTGAAATATTCGTCAGAAACTAGAATTGTCGAATTTCATTTTTCGCTACTATTTCATCTCTGTTATAGTCTGAAATAAAATAATAATAACTCTGTAGGAGTTTGCATCCCAAATATCGTCCATTTGAGAAACGTCTTGCAGAATTGGTGAGACGATAATGCTACTCTACGCCAGTTGGCAGTAACGAAAGTAGAAAAAGTAGTTTCAGTTTTGTTGTTTTCAATCGGACAGTTCTCCTCTATAATAATAACGATAGGAGTTTTATAGAAGTTCGCATCCCAGATCTTCCGTTCCACAGTTGATTTTTGAGTTTGGGAACTTCTGCAAGACAGGATGGTATTGGTTCGGGCCTGTAAATTCATCAGGAGTTGGGATCTGCTTCTGTGCATGGTCCCTGACTATGGGAGTGCAGGAATTGGATCATTTCTCTCTGCCCTGGGGAGCAGCCCCAGCTCCTCAGGGGGCTGATGTTGGAACGCTGGACATGAATGCTACTAGTCCAATACAATAAAAATAGGAAATATTTTGGAATGTTTCTCAAGGTAGTTAGTAGTTTGCGCCTGAAACACTAGAGGCAGCAACTGGTATCTGTTTCACTGGACTCGACGCCTAATTTTGATGATGTCACTAGCTGTCGATAGTGCGGTGATATGTAAGAATAGGCTTTGTTAAAATGATGAATCGTTGGAATGGAGGACTGGCGCTTAATGAGCCAGCGACTAGCGCATATGAGTCATCGTCTGGCGCATAATGAACCACGACTGACGCATAACGAGCCAGCGACTGACGCATAACGAGCTAGCGACTTGCGCGATGCGTCAGAAGTGTCCAAACCCTCCAGCGATTAATGAGGTGATCTATTCGAGCTATTAGCTTTCTCTAATGATGCCAGCCACTTATTTTTCAAAATGATCTTTCAATTTCTGTTCAATCGTACTACTTACTTTTTGGTCACTGGTACATCGATAAGTGATGGTTTGAGGTTCGTCTCCAATTGTACTGCAACTGAAACCGCTGAAGCCGCAGGAAGTGAATTTTGCCTGTTTCGCCACACACAGGCCGAAGAAAATACACAAAATAACGTGATACTTGAACATTTTGCAATCGAATGATGCGATTTCTGCCGGGACTGGTTATTAAGCAGTTATCGTCTTCGTTGGAATCTCGGGTCATCCCCTTTTCCTTATCGTGTCAATTAAATACTGTTGTTCGGAAAGTCCTGCTATATATACGGGGTCAAACAATACAAAAAATCGAAATCGCTCATCAGTTTTAGTTGGGCAATTTCAAAGTTTAGTTTTGGTCGCTGTAGTTTACCCCTAAGAGGGATATTTGGTACCTTTGGAATAACTAATACGTTGTTTGAAAAAGCTTCAATTTTTTTCTAATGGTGTTCTAATTCATACCCTAACATATAATCCATTATAATTTTTATATTTTTCTGATGTGGAAGGTGAAAAATACCCAAAAAAGTCGATGAAAAAATAAATATATCCTTCGTATCAGTAACCAATATTTTTTGCTAACTGTGTCAGGTATTATTGCTGAATACTTTGAAATGAAAAGGCGCTTCAAAAAATATTTGGCGTTTTTATTGACATTGCCACCACTAACAACAAGAGTATAGTTCATTGATATCGATAGAAAAAGCAAATTTACGTGCTGAATAATATGCAGCCACTGTAAACTTGCTTTTCAGGGGACGGATATAGCTTCTGTATCTGTAGAGTAGGCCACATAGGCACTTAGGCCACATGTGACCCATTGTACATCCTTCCGAGGAGTTGTCCTCCTAGGTCATCGTCCATCCTGTCCTTTCCAGGAAAGTGGATCGGTCTCTGGGAGACATCTCCTTTATATCGGCAGGTGTAGGCCAGAACACACCGAACACACACTCTCTTATTGGCTATAACTCCGGGCACTCGCACAGGACATGTCTGACAGTCTCATCTTCCTGTTCACACATCCTGCATAGAGGTGTGTCCATTAGCTGCTCCATGTTATGGAGGTGTCTTCTTAGTTGACAATGGCCAGTCAGGAATTCTACTGTTATGCGTAGATACCTGGTCATCGCCAGATATTTCTTCGGCACCAGCTTCCTAGAGTCGCCCCGTGTGATCCTGGCAAGACTGCATCGTTTGATTCCATACCACCTCTTTGAGGATTGAGCATGAGTGTGGCATTAGGGTAGTTCCGCAATTATCGAAGTCATCAGGCCGTAGGTGTCACTTTACCTTCTTTGGCTAAAGAGTCGGCAATGCGATTACCTTTACTTCTGTCGTGCCCTTTAACCCACCTCAGGATAATGTTATTATCTACCGAAGCTTTGGCTAAATCTTGGTGGCACTCTAGTACTAGCCCTGAGATAACACGTTGTCTGTTTAAGGCTGATAGGGCTTGTCTACTATCAGTGCAGATTGTTTTCGCAAGAAATTCCATTCCTGTGTATTTCTTTTGTGGCGATTGAGATACCAGCCAGTTCTGTTTGAACCACGCTGCTATTTTTTCCCATTCCCCGCTTAATCCTTAGGCTTAGTGATCTGGAGTACACTCCACATCCTGAGCCTTCTTTGGTTTCTGAGCTGTCTGTATATATGCGTATTGCATTTGTAGCATCTGACTCTGTGTTCTGTTTTATTTGTATTTAGTAGGGTTCATTAAACACAAACCTGGGTTCAATTGCATCACTGGCTGCCTGCAGCAGAGGTTGCGCAGTAAGTGCTTCCAGCCATAGGCTCAGCCTCAATTGACCCATTTCTTCTTTGAGGTTTACACCAACCGTGCGCAATCGTAACGCAACCTCCTTAACGTACAGGTCTGGTTTCTCTTCAGTGCAAATAAATCTTTCGCCTTTTACCAACTTTTTTTTGTCTGAGTTGGATAATCTGGACATCAAAGACAATTGGTTTCAACAGGACGGCAAGCAGGTGCTCTTG